GAATGCCTTCTCCCGCGGTAGGATTTGACTCCTTGTTTGCGACGGTGACGGACTTGACTCCTGTGGTGGTGAGAGAGTGCAAGAGCGAAGGGTTGGGAGTCATGTGTTGATCGCACCCACTATCGAGGTACCAAAAGTCGGGATCGAACGTCGATGTGGGCGCGGATGAAGTCATGGCAAAACTTATGCCCTGTGGGGTGCTTTGGGAAGAAGAAGTGGGTATAGAGTTGGAGGGAGAGACATGGGGTGCTTGAGGTAACGAAGGCGTAAAGCCTTGTTGTGGAGAAGGGTAAAACAAGGGCATTGGTTGCATGGGGTAATAGGGAAAGGGGTAGGGTTGACTTGGGTAGAATTGGGATGATTGAGGTTGAGGTAAAGGGGATTGATGTGGCTCATTGTGAGAGCTTACTGCATATGATAGGGCGGCTCGGCCCTTGGCGGTAAGAAGATGAGGAGGAGGGGTCCATTGGGAGGTTTACGAGAGCACTTAAACCATGGATGTCCCCACTGATGACAATAATGACAAGTGGAGTTGAACTTCCCGGATTGGGGCTTAGCGGGTTGAGAGGGATTAGATGAGAAGTGTTGATTGGATGAGGAACTTGATGACGGGTAGCGACCAAGAAGAGATGGGTTAGAGGACTTACTTGCTTGTCGTTGGTTCTTGCCTTTTTTGTTGTTGTTGTAGTTGTTGTTGTTGTTGCTGTTGCCGTGACCTTGAGTAGAGACGGCGGCCGACCATGCGGGTTTGTTGTTCTCCTCCTTTGCCTTGGCAAGCTCGCGCGTTTGATGTTCGTTGATGAGGGTGTTGAAGATGAAGTCTCGCGTCTTTTGCTTCTCGGGAAACGCTTGAATCGTGCTCCGCATTTGAATCCACTCCGGTGAGAGCCCTGCGAGGAGAATGGTGATGAAGAGCTCCTCGGGAACAGTGACTTCGATGACGTCGGCATCGTTGAGTAGAATCTCCGCGCGCTCCAAGTACTCGGGAATCGTCTCCTTTTGTTCCATCCGTAGGTTGGAGATCTTGCCCCACATTTCCGCCTTGGTGCTCTCGGTGCGAGGTTGATGAAGCCTTGTGAGCCCCTCCCATGCGCGCTTTGCACTGTCGGGATGACTCGCGCACGTGAGCAATGACTTGGCGTATTGGTCTTGGACGGAGTTGAGGAGGTAGAGGTACGCTTCGGCGTTCTTCTTGATCCATGCGGTTTGCTCTGTGGGAGGGGCTTCGGAGGTAGGAGGAGAGAGAGAACCAGAGTAAACGGGCCACCACTCTAGGAGAGTGGAGGCCAATTGGAAGCGAATTCGCCACGCTTGGAAATCCTTTCCATTGAACCGTGGCACTTCTAGCTTGGGAGTTAAAGAAGAGGGGGTAGACATTTGGGTGTAAATAGGAGAGGGAAGAGTAGGAGATGATGAGGTGTCTTTTCCTCATATGTTGCCGCTTACTTCAGAGGAGCTTGATTCTCCTTGCGAAGTGGCACTCTTTGGCTTAAAGCCCTTGGGAGTGGGAGTCACGGAGAGAGAGTATAAAGCTCTTGTTAAGAGGACACTAGCGAAAGCGAGGAGATAAGTTGCTCTGATACCAGTAGAGAATTGAGATAAAGACAAAAGAGTATGATTGCACACTAGAATAAGACAAGAGTGAATAGTGGAACTGTAGCATATGTAGATGAGCTTGATGGAAGAGAAGATGATGCTTAGAACTTGTGACTATAAAGAGAAACTTGTGTAAGATGAAATGCTTGATGAGATAAGAACTTAGAGGAGAAGAAGAGTGTGAGCTCGTTGAAAGAAGTAAGAGCGGTGATAAACACTTACTTGAGTGAATCTTACTAGGGATAGTTGTAGAAGTAACTTGAAAGAAGAACTTGAACTTGTATGGTTTACTTGGGAGTGACTTCAAGCCTTGGGTTGGATGATGATCCTCCCTTGAGCTTGTAGCTTGTAGCTTCCTTATACTCTTAAGGAGTATGAGGTAGACTACTCTTCACTTGATAACTACTTTGTAGACTATGTGAGAAAGAGCCTTATGAGCATAAACTTATATTAAAGAGAGTATAGTACAAGCCTTATAAATCCATGAAGGATACATAGGCATGCATAGAGAGAGTAATCATCAATGGTAGCCTTGGAAGAGAGTAGCATGAGAGTATCAACTTTGGAGACATAGAAACTTGGTTGCTAGTGAGGAGCCTTTGTAGTTGAAGAGGAGCTTGAAGGAGAAGCTTGGAATGAGCTTGGAGAGGAGCTTGATGAAGAAGCTTGAGAGGCATTGTTGTCATTGAAGAACCTTCTTGAGAAATTGTAGAGATGCTTGTTGGAGTTGAATAGTAGTAGAGCATGAGGTGGTGGTTGAGCACTTGTTGAGTTGGAGTTGTAGGCCTTGCAGTGTTGGAAGAGAACTTGGGTGACTTGTGAAGGAATGAATAGAGAGGATAGGAAAACTTTGGTGTCTTGGAAGAGGAGGTGATGTGGTAATCATGAATCCTCAAAAGATGAGTTGGCGACTTTGGTGACTTGGGAAAGGAAGGAAGGGAGGAATGAATTAGAGGCATGTGGAGGTTGATGACTAGGAATTGGAAGCATGTGCTTGAAGGCACATGGAGGGAGGAATATTGGAGGAGGTAGATGACTTGGATAATATTTGGTGAGTAAGGAAAGAAAGCACATGGAAAATCATGAGGAGTCATGTGCCTTGTGGTGGGACTTGGAGGTGAATAGAAAAAGTTGTTGAAGTCTTAGTTGAGTTGGATTAGGAAAGGCTATGGTGGTTGGGAGAAATTAAAGAGGTGGTTGATAGGCTTGAGTTGGAGTGGATGAGTTGGAAAAGGAAGTTTGTAACTTGGGTGGTTGGAATGGGCTTTGGAGGAGTTGAGTGGTTTGGATGGGTTCTTAGGAAAATGTGTCGAGGGTGTTTTGAGGGGAAGGGGTTGGAGTGGTACAGTAGCGTGGCACGTGAAGAGCGTGCCATTCACAACACTCCCCCTCACTGCAAGCCCGTACCCTCAAATCCGACTACTGGGACTAACCCGGCTTGAACTCGGTTGTTGATGAAGATGTCGCGTGCAACGACCTTTGTGAGGAAATCCGCCGCTTGCTCACTCGTGCGGCAAAACAGGGGCTCAATGATTTTCGGCTCCACAAGCTCTCGAACGTAGTGATACTGCGTCGCGATGTGCTTGGTCCTCCCATGGAAGACGGGGTTCTTGGTGAGAGCGATCGTCGATGTGTTGTCGATGAAGATTGGAGTGGGGCTCTCTTGTGGGAGGTCAAGCTCCTTCAATAGACCTCTTATCCACACTGCTTCTCGGGCTCCTTGGGTCGCAGCCATGTACTCTGCCTCCGTGGTTGATAAAGCCACACAACTCTGCTTCTTTGAATGCCAAGAGATGGCTGCCCCTCCAAGCATGAAGATGTATCCTCCAGTGGACCTGCGGGTAGGGATATACGATTTGGAAGTGGAGACGCGTGTCCAAAATCTGAACACGTCCTGACGGCTTCACATCCCCACCCTTCTGTCTTCATCGAACTGCCATGCCTCACTTCTGCTTCTACTAGATTCTAAGTTTTCCGCTTACCTCTACTGGTCCGAAGTCGTCCCTTCTGCTGTCGTGCCATCCAGACTGCAGTGCATGGACCTGTGTTTTTAGCACTTCCCCCCCCCCGACCCGACCCTCCAACTTCTCAATCATGGCGTTTTCTCTTCTCCTTACCGTCCCTCCCCCATCGTTTCAGTGTCTCCTCACGCAGACCTCCAGAAACCCTGGTTTTCCTCGTTGCAAGCACAGTGGTCCGCACGTGAGCAGGATTCGCATAAGAACGCTCATCGTCTGCTCACATTCCACCGTCCACCCTTTTTCTTCCTTACACAGCCCTTTCGGCGATTGGCACTGTCCAGAAACCCAGTCCAAAGGCTGACTAACCTATCTTAGGCTTCACCAAGATTGAGACAAGACGCCTCTGCCTTCTCTTCAATCAATACTATCACGGCTCGCTGACATACGAGCCATTCGTTCGCTGACTCAAGCAATCGGCATTCCCAATGGCGTGTCCTCGCATACTCGGCCTGCTCGTCGCGGCATTCGCTGCGGCTCTGTTGCTGCTAGCGGTGCCAGCAGAGAGCAAGAGGGCGCCGCCGGTGAGAAGGGCAGTGCAAAAGGGAGTGCCGCAGTGGGAGCTTCTCGCGGCGCTTAAGGACCTTGATAAGAAATACGCCTTCTTCTCCGTTTTCGCAGAGCGATTCTACACTGCAGGTAGGCATTGACAAAACAACATATATTTGTTTTCTGTAGACTGTGCATGACTGTTTTCAATCTGGGTCGTGTCCTAAACATTTTCTGTTCCCTTTTTCCCCTTTGTTGCAGCGAAATTTAAGCTAATTTCACTTGACGGCCCTGCGACCATCCTCATCCCCTCTAATATTGGCAACCAATTTATGAAGAAAAAGTGGGATTCTTACACTCCGCAGCAGCGCCTACGCATCTTGAAGAATCTCATTATACAGGGGAAATTCAGCAAGAACCGGCTTCTGTCAACTGTTCCGTTATGGCAGTTCCGCACCATGAACATGGACTTGAAGCTGATAAAAATGAATAAGATCAGCCAGCGAGAGTGTTACTTCAAGGCCCTAGGAGGGAAGACCTTTGGACCCCTGAACATGGCTAATATGAGCCTGACGAAAAACATTCAGATTCACGGCGTTTCTACTGTTCCCATTCCTCCAAATGCATGACAACTGACTCAATGCGGTGTTCCCTCTTGTGCACTGTAATATATTGGATTGTAATAACGGTGATGTAAGCTGACATGCTACTGTTTCATGGTCACAAGCCCACTTGCATCAATTTCAAGGAGTACCCTGTGAGAGAGGACTGGGGGACGGTCCACCACGTTGGAAAGGGATACAGTTAGGAGGGAGTTCCCAAACATGGAATTGTAAGGCTCGAAGTGGCCCGTGGTGCCAAACGAATCTGCGGCCTGGATTGTGGTTAGGAGTGCTGCTACGGTTGCTGGAACGGGATAACAGGAACGAGGAAATTCCCAAACATGGAGTCGCACGGCTTGAAGTGCCCTGTGGCGCCCATCTGCCTTGCTCTCTGCACTGCCGCCCGCTTTGCCGCCAGCATTCTCTGCACCTCCTCCTGGTGCCGCTGCTGTGCCTGATGGGCCTGCTGGGCCTGGTGCGGCTGGTGGGATTGCTGGGGCGCTGTAGCTGATGCAGGTGGCAGTGGTGCCAGAGGTGACTGGGTGGAGACGGAATGGGGTCTGAGGGGAGGTGGGGGGAGAGATGAGAAATGCGGGAGAGACGAGAAATGGGGGAGAGACGGGAAATGGGGGAGAGAGTGAATGAGGGTGGGTGGATGTGGACTGGTAAGGGAAGTTCTGAGCATCGGATAGTTGGAATCGGGATACGTAGAAGAGAAATTATGTGGGCAGGAGCGCACAGGCGATTGGATTGAGTCTGTTGCAGGATTGAGGCAGATGGGGATCCTAACAGGAACTGAGTGTGGAATCAAGGAAACGTGGTGGGGAGACAGAGATGTCAGTGCAGCACCTGTGCTGTGGAACAGAGAGCTACCAAAGGCAGAACGCAGCAGAGGGCTTTTCAAAGGCGATTGGGTTGAGGCAGATGGGATTATAAGAGGAGCCGAGTGTGGAATCAAGGAAACGTGGTGACGAAACAGAGATGTCAGTGCAGCACCTATACTGTGGAACAGAGAGCTTCCAACGGAAGATCATAGCAGAGATTTTTTAAAAGCAAAGCGCAACAGAGTTTCATTCAGTGAGGAAGCAGAAGATTCAGTGCAGTGAGTGCTTTCCAAAAGGCAGAAGGCTGCCAAGGGCAGAGCGCTTTCCAAAGGCAGCGTTTCAACCGAAGGTGAACGTACAAATAAATCACATTAGAGGACGCATACCTCGCTGGCACATGCACGCTCTGCACTGATAAAAGGCTATCTTTGAGATGTCTCAAACATAACCTTTATGAAAAGCAATGTTTGAATTGAAGGAGGAAGTACAAACAAATCACAAGAGAAGAGGCATACCTCGACGGCACCGGCTCTGCACTGCCGGCAGCTTGCATCGCTCCTGCTGCGGTGGGCTCAGAGGCAACAGAGGCTTGCTGGGTTAGAGGTGAAGGCGGGCGGACGTTGGGTGACGATGGCCGCACCCCCGCAGCTGGTGATGATTTTTGAAATGGTGTTGAACCAAGGGAGGAGGGAGAATGTGAGAGGGAGGGGTGAATGTGAGGGATGGAGGGTGGATGCGAATGCAAGGGAGAGACAGGGGTTGCGAGGGAGGGAGGGGGGTTGCGAGGGAGAGAGGGAGGGAGAGAGGGGGGTTGCAAGAGAGGGAGGTTGGTTGTGAGAGAGGAGAAGGGGGGTTGGGAAGGAGGGGGGTTGTGAGGGAGGGATGAAATAATGTGGCGGGGAGGAATGCGAATGCGAGGGAGTGAGGGTAAGTGTGGGGAAAGGACGGCGAACGTGAGGGGGGAAGGAGGGGAAGGGGGGGGGAGGGAGGGGGGGGGAAGGGGAAGGAGTAACGCGATGACAAGAGAGTGAATATAAGCGAGAGAGGATGAATATGAGGGGACGAGGTGTGAATGCCGCATAAAAAGCCACAGCGCCATCAATGACTCTAACCAGAAACGAGTCAAATAAGAGCAAGGAAAATAGATCTGGAAAGCATGGGGTCGCCATTCACATGAGCCCATGAATCCCTAATCACGACAGCAAGAAATCGTGCATTTGCAGATGTATCAGAGAAACGAAAGCCCCTAATCTTACCTAACGTGAGAAGGAAAAAACCTTGGCTCTAGATCTTTACCAGCAAAGAACCTGCCATTGCAAAATCTAGATCCAACCAATGGCCGTTAGTCTTACGTGCAGATGACATGGCAGCGGTGGCAGGGAACGAAAACCCAGGTGGACCCACAGCAGAAGCCGCTGATAGCCCGCCTCCAGTTCCTCCCAATGACGTGGCAGCAGAACCCACGGCTGACGTGGCAGGCGCGTGGTGGTGGTCCCGTGGCTTGGCCGCGTGGTCGCGATCCTTTTCGCCTGCATATGGTCGACTGGGAGAGGCGAGAGAGGATACGAAGGAGGTGAGGCGTAGGGAGAGGAGGGTGGAGGCAAGGAGCGGAGAGAAGTGTGGAGGTTGAGGAGCGGAGAGAAGTGTGGAGGTTGAGGAGCGGAGAGAGGGGTGGAGGTTGAGGAGCGGAGAGAGGGGTGGAGGTTAAGGAGCGGAGACAGGGGTGGAGGTTGAGGAGCGGAGAGAGGGGTGGATATTGAGGAGCGGAGAGAGGGGTGGAGGTTGAGGAGCGGAGAGAAGGGTGGAGGTAAGGAGCGAGGGGAGGAACTGAGGAGTGGTGAGGCAGCGCGTAGGAACGAAAGACTGAAGCACTGAGGGGAGGTGACGGCGACTACTGAGATAATGGTGACAGAGAGTTCATCCTGACTGCTAGACGACTGTCATAGCAGGAGGGAACACAGGGTCGAAGAGCAGATGCGACGTGCACACCGTTTTGACTGGACGACGCAAAAGTTCCTCTCTCGACACTTTTGACTCTCAATAGTTAATCCCTCGACACTTTTGAGGTGACTTTTGTGTCGACTCAAAAGGTGACTTTTCAATAGTTCCTCCATCTCCCTCACCTCCAGTACGCTGCTCTCTCAACATGCGTGTTAGTACGAACGCTTGAGGGTTAACCTCCGCGTACCCAAGGTGACCTCCCATCCTCACGATAAGCCGATCCGAATTGAGGCAAACAAAGTTAGAAACATAAGTTTATCACGTACCCGCGATGCGCCGACCGGCGCCGCCTGACGTCGGAAGCTGGCCGCGCGTCGGCCATGGAAAAGGGTAACCGCTGAAGAGGGTTGAAAGATACCTAACGCTGTAGCCGTGAGTATTTACGACGGAGTGGAATGGTTGGTGGATGCTGGGATCCCAGGATGGTTTTTCAGCTAAAAGGCAAGGATGGAGACAACTGGAAGGGGAATTCTGAATGCCACTAATCAAACGGGTCCTGGTTTCGAATCCAGTGCAGCATGACGGCTAATCCAGCGGCGCTCCCCTTCCAGAAATTTCGGAAACCTGTGCTGCACGAGTGAGCGAGCGACGGCGCCTGTTACGTCACCTGCAGGTGATTTTTGAGGCGCCTACATGTCGTTCCCGGGTTAAATTGTGCTGCTTTACGTCGTCAGCACGTAGAGCAAAAGGCTTGCCATAATAGGCGCGCGTGTCCTGAATGCCGACCTGAGAACAGCAACTATGTGCGACGCGACTGGTTCTGAACCCTGACCTAATTGGCGATTCGTCAGTAAAGCTGGACCAAACTTGCGGATTCGCGTAGCATGACATTTCTAGTTCGCGAAAGCGAGAGCATCACTAGTTTTCGTGATAGCGAAATCGGTGTGGAGGTCCAGGCGAACGTCGTTCATGATTCTGGGCTATGCTTCGGATAGTTATGATGAACAGAAGAATATTGAAACTTCCATTATTGGAGTACAATTAGATCACGAATGATGACAAGCTCTTGATTATTTGGCAATGAGCAACTTCAGTTAAAATGAGTGCTCCCTAGGGTTTGAGGGGGCATGCTGGCAGTCTGTCATGATGCAAGTCAGCTTCAGGTGGAGGTCTGCTAGGCACAACGTGTTGCCCAGGTCCTACCTACCCATGTACCACCTTCTGAGTCGCAAGCAGAACGCTGTAATTCGTTTTTGCTCATGTAAGCACAGGCATGGGATGTAGGGGAGTGTCACGTGGTTGTGGCTCCTCTATTGCTGTTGTTCGTGCAGCTCAACTAAGTTGTGATGCAATAAAAACTCCGTTGTTATGTCGAGTATTGCACGATCCATGGATGACCTGCCATGCCATGCCACGCCATGCCATACCATCCCATGCCACGCCATGCCATGCCATGCATAACAGACAGATGGAAGTTGAGGTGGATGGTGGGTGATGAGACATAAATGCAGGAATACGCATCTGATCCCTGGAAAAACGGTTCAAGGCACGAGTGTGAGGCAACGGAAGGGGCACGCGCGGGGTGGAAGAGCAAGAGTGTCAACACACTGGTCTTTACCATGCACGTAGTCCCGTCAGATGAGTCAGCACACATGCCAAACACGCACCAGCACCGCCATCCACTTACCAAGCCAGTCAGCTCACTCCTAAAAACAAGCCATCAACGCACCCAAACCCCAAGCCGATCGACGCACCCAAACCCCAAGCCGATCAACGCACCCAAACCCCAAGCCGATCAACACACCCCAAAACCCAAGCCAATGAGTCCAACCCATTGAACTCAAAACTCACCGAGCAACTCCAGTGCAGAGATCCTCTTGCGGGGATCTTTAACGAGTATCCTCTTTATAAGCTCTTTGGCGTCCTCGGTCACAGTGCGCCACTTGGCGGACTTGAACTGCACCTCCTTGCGCCGGATCGCATCGAATATGCCCTCGTTGCTCGCCGCCCAGAACGGCGGGAAGCCGCACAGCATGATGTATAGGACGATCCCTGCCGACCAGATGTCGGATTCGGGGCCGTACGAGCCGGTGAGGACCTCTGGGGCCATGTAGTAGGGCGTGCCTACGAACTCAGTGAGAGGCTCGCCTGTAACAAGGGAGGAGGGGAAAGGGGAGAGGCAAGAGGGGGGTAAGTGGCTGGGTGTGCCTACGAATTCAGTAAGACGCTCACCTGTAAAGGGGTTGGGGTGGGAGGGGGGAAGAAGGCAGAAAGGGAGTGGGAGGAGAGGGAGGAGAGGGAGGAGAGGGAGGAGAGGGAGGAGAGGGAGGAGAGGGAGGAGAGGGAGGAGAGGGAGGAGTGGGAGGAGAGGGAGGAGAGGAAGGTGACACGGAATTTGGAGGCGCCTAAAGAATCATGACAGCACCATCGTCCCTGTGCTCGGTGCACCACGGTGCGCAGAATGGCTTTTGAGTCGACTCAAAAGTCATTTCCTTTCCATTGAGCAATGCCACGTCATTCTAATCCAAGCTGTCTCACCTCACCGTCTCTGACCTGAACCTCGTGGCAAGCAACACCAAGGTCTGACCTGAACCTCGTGGCAAGCAACACCAAAGTCGATCAATTTGATATTAGTATGGTGTTCTCCTTGAGCACAAAGTCGATCATCCTTGGGCATGAGAAGAGTGTTCTCGGGCTGCACATGACAGTGTGGGCAGAGTGACTCACCGTGTCTGAATCGCGTGGCAACGCCTAAGTCAATAACTTTGATATTAGTGTCATCATCCTTGTGCATGAGCAGAATGTTCTCCGGCTTCACATCGCGGTGTGCGATGCCGTTGGAGTGGCAGTACAGCAGCGCCTCCACCAGCGTCTGGCACACGAGCGCACAATGCGATGCCATGCCATCCCATGCCAGTCCATCTTAAGCCATTTCAACCAGCTAATGTTCAGGCCATACCGTGTCTGAACCTTGTAGCAACACCAAAGTCGATGACTTTAATGTTGGTGTCATCATCCTTGTGCATGAGCAGAATGTTCTCCGGCTTCACATCGCGGTGAGCAATGCCGTTGGAGTGGCAGTAGAGGAGCGCCTCCACCAGCGTCTGGCACACGAGCGCAGCGCTGCGCTCGCTGTACTGCCCCCTCAGCTTGATGCGGTCAAACAGCTCCCCGCCCTTGCAGATCTCCATCACCAGGTGCACGTGCTGGGAGGGGGGAAAGAGCAGAATGAGGAGAGTGGGGTTTGGGAGCGCGCACACAGAGGCACACAGACGGTGTTACGCTCGCTGTACTGCCCCCTCAGCTTGATGCGATCTAAGAGCTCCCCTCCCTTGCAGATCTCCATCACCAGGTGCACATGCTGAGAGGAGGAGGGATGGGGAGGGGTGGGGGGGGAGGGGGGAGGGGGGGGGCAGGGAGAGTGGGGTTTGGAAGCACACAGACACACACACAGCGCTGCGCTCGCTGTACTGCCCCCTCAGCTTGATGCGATCAAACAGCTCCCCTCCCTTGCAGATCTCCATGACTAGGTGCACATGCTGGGGGGGAGGGAAGGGGGGGGGGAAGGGTGACAAGGGGGAGATGGATGGAGAGAGGGCAATGAATGCACCAGGGATGGAAACATGAATGCACCAGGGATGGAAATATGAATGCTGCTGCCCTTTCACGTTTCATGGATGCTTGGCGCCATCACTAAACCGTGGTTGAATTTTGAGTCGACTCAAAAGTCACCTTGGTGCCATCACTAGACCGTGGTTGAAACATGAAAGGGCAGCAGTGCCCCTGCTAGGAAAGAACCAACGCGTGACTCTAATCGTGGCAAGTCTCACTGGTTGGAGGAAAATTTTCAGCCTTCACTGGATGAAGGAGGTGATTATCAGTCAAAAGGATTTAGGCTTATCCTTTTGGCTATATTGCCACCACAGGCAGGGGATGGGATGGTATGGGATGGGATGGGATGGGATGGGATGGGGATGTGGTCGTGTTTTCATGTATGACCTTAAACTTATCTTTGCGGCACTTGCATCTCAATCTTCTCATCCAGCTTGCTCTACCTAAAGCCCTCCGCTTGCTGCAGAGTGTTTTTGAGAATTCTCAGAAACACCCTCCGCTTGCTTACCTTGCTGCATTGATGGTACTTCTGAGAATTCTCAAAAGTACCATCAACACCCTCCGCTTGCTCACCTTGCTGCCTTCGAAGGCCTTGTAGAGGTCGATGATGTTGGGGTTGGGGTTGTGTAGGGTGGGGTGGGATGCGGTGGGGAGGGGTAAATTAGCCTACTGTTCAACTCCTAGCACACCACACGCATGTCTCACCTTGCTGTCCTCACCGGTCTCAAAGAGATCGATGATGTTGGGGTGGGGTGGAGTATCGTGGGTGGGGTGGGGTGGGGTGGGGAGGGGTACCTCGTCTCACCTTGCTGTCCTCAAAAGTCTCATAGAGGTCGATGATGTTGGGGTGGCCCCTCAGCTGCTGCCCTCCATCGGCCATCATGAATCCACCGCACCACACACACGCCCTAACCACCCTCATCTCACCTTGGTGTCTTCAAACGTCTCATAGAGGTCGATGATGTTGGGGTGGCCCCTCCGCTGCTGCCTGCAAACAGCCCTCACCCATCCACCAGTCCACCATTCAACTCCTCCCACACCACACACACTCCACACCCTCGCCTCACCTTGCTGTCCTCGAACGTCTCGTAGAGGTCGAAGATGTTGGGGTGGGGTGGGGTGGGGTACCTCCCTCACCTTGCTATCTTCGAATGTCTCGTAGAGGTCGATGATGTTGGGGTGGCCCCTCAGCTGCTGCATCAGCTGCACCTCCTTCCGCACGTCCTCTGCATCCTCGGGGCACTGCAAAGCGGGTGGTGGGGAAGGGGCACGTTGCACATGGAGAGGTGTGAGTGGGGGCACATGGAGAGGTGTGAGTGGGGCACATGGAGAGGTGTGAGTGGGGGCACATGGAGAGGTGTGAGTGGGGGCACATGCACATCAACATGCCAGCCGGGACAGGGAAGCTGCATCAGCTGCACCTCCTTCCGCACGTCCTCTGCATTGTCAGGACACTGCAAAGAGGTGGGATGGGGAGCGGTGTGGTGTGGCGTGGTGGGGCGAGGGGGGGCGAGGAGGGGCTGCATCAGCTGTACCTCCTTGCACTCCTCGTTCTTCAGACAGCATTGGGACCGCATAAATCGCACCCCATGCCAATTTAATTTGGGCATAAATCGCACCCCATGCCAATTTAATTTGGGCATAAATCGCACCCCATGCCAATTTAATTTGGGCATAAATCGCACCCCAATCTTGAGACGTCTCAAAATATGAATTGCACCCCACGCCATCACTGCCACATTCAACAACCGGCAACGGTGGTTGGATTTAAACAGCATGACCCATCCATCAGAGGGACAGAGCCGCATCATGGCCGCTGCCCTGGCAAACCAGTGGACACAGCAGCATCATGGCCGCTGCCCTGGCAAACCAGTGGACACAGCAGCATCATGGCCGCTGCCCTGGCAAACCAGTGGACACAGCAGCATCATGGCCGCTGCCCTGGCAAACCAGTGGACACAGCAGCATCATGGCCGCTGCTGCCCTGGCCAACCAGTGGACACAGCAGCATCATGGCCGCTGCTGCCCTGGCCAACCAGTGGACACAGCAGCATCATGGCCGCTGCTGCCCTGGCCAACCAGTGGACACAGCAGCATCATGGCCGCTGCTGCCCTGGCCAACCAGTGGACACAGCAGCATCATGGCCGCTGCTGCCCTGGCCAACCAGTGGACACAGCAGCATCATGGCATGGCCGCTGCTGCCCTGGCCAACCAGTGGACACAGCAGCATCATGGCATGGCCGCTGCTGCCCTGGCCAACCAGTGGACACAGCAGCATCATGGCATGGCCGCTGCTGCCCTGGCCAACCAGTGGACACAGCAGCATCATGGCCGCTGCTGCCCTGGCCAACCAGTGGACACAGCAGCATCATGGCATGGCCGCTGCTGCCCTGGCCAACCAGTGGACACAGCAGCATCATGGCATGGCCGCTGCTGCCCTGGCCAACCAGTGGACACAGCAGCATCATGGCATGGCCGCTGCTGCCCTGGCCAACCAGTGGACACAGCAGCATCATGGCCGCTGCTGCCCTGGCCAACCAGTGGACACAGCAGCATCATGGCATGGCCGCTGCTGCCCTGGCCAACCAGTGGACACAGCAGCATCATGGCCGCTGCTGCCCTGGCCAACCAGTAAAGTCAAGATGACTTTTGAGTCGACTGAAAGACATGTCACTATAATGTCACACAGCATGATCCATCAGTGGACACGACAACATGGTATGACAATCAGTCAGTCCCACGTCCATCCATGCCATGCCATGCCCATGCCATGCCCATGCCATGCCATGCCCATGCCATGCCATGCCCATGCCAATGCCATGCCAATGCCATGCCAATGCCATGCAATGCCATGCCATGCAATGCACTCAACATGTTTGTTGGTATTAATAGTTGCAAATGTCTGTCAAGCCAGGCCTCTGTCATCATCACTAATCAGCTCATTTACAAGGCACCTAGAATATCGGCCCCGTCATCATCACAACTCAGCTCATCAGCTTCAGAGGTGGTCCCTTCAATCTGAGCTTGTCACACACCCTGAACTGAACCAGCCCAAGTCCAGCCCAGCCCAATCCATCCCAATCCAGCCCAATCCATCCCAGCCCATCCCATCCCAGCCCAGTCCAGCCCTTCCCTCCCTGTGCACGCACCACCAGCATTACCAAACCCATCCAAACTCATCCCAACCCATCCTGAACCAGCCCAAGCAGGCACATACCACGATTCGCTCCTTGCTGATCGTCTTGCATGTCAGCAGCGCCCCAGTCACTCTAATGACACACGACCGAATGACCCCGAACTGTCCCACGCCCAGCTCCTCCTCTTGCACGTCAAACACCTCACTCACATCCCCTGACCACCTCCCTGACCCTCCTTCCTCCCCTACACACACCACCGCCCTTCGCCACCTGTGCACGCACCTCCAGCATCACCATACCCATCCCAACCCATTCTACACCAGGCCAAGCAGGGCCGTACCATGACCCTCTCCTCCTTGCTCATGGTCTTGCTTGCATGCCAAGAGTGCGCCAGTCATCCTATTCAACGCATTATCTAATCACGCCGAACTGCCCCACGCCCAGATCCTCCTCCTGCATGTCAAACACCTCGGTCACGTCACCTGACTCCCCCCCTTCCTTCCCTCCACACACCACCGCCCGTCCCCACCTGTGCACTCACCACCAGCATTACCCAACCCATCCTGCAGCAGCCCAAGCAACCACTCACCACAATCCGCTCCTTGCTGATCGTCTTGCATGCCAGCAGCGCGCCAGTCATCCTATTCACATACGACCGGATATCGCCGAACTGTCCCACACCCAGCTCCTCCTCCTGCACGTCAAACACCTCACCTGAACCCTGAATTCCCCCAACCCCTCCGTTCCCGCTCCACACAAGAACTCACCACAATGCGTTCCTTGCTGATCGTCTTGCATGCCAAGAGCGCCCCTGTGACTCTGTTCACACACGACCGGATAACGCCGAACTGCCCCACGCCCAGCTCCTCCTCCTGCACGTCAAACACCTCGGTGACATCAACTAACAAGCAAGCAAGCACTCACCACGATCCTCTCCTTGCTGATCGTCTTGCATGCCAAGAGTGCCCCAGTCACCCTATTCACACATGATCGAATCACTCCGAACTGCCCCACGCCCAGCTCCTCCTCCTGCACGTCAAACACCTCGGTGACGTCGCGGTACGGCTTGCGAAGGATGAAGTCCGTGTGCCGCAGGCTGCCCCCGTCCACCCACGACGATATGCGCCGGTGCGCACCCTTCTGTAGTGCCGCTACAGGACCCGCTACAGCCACCGGCGCTACGGTCACTGGTGCTACAGCCAACGGCGCTGCTGCTGCAGCTGCTGCTGCTGCGGATCCACCCAACGCTCCCCCACCCGCACTCCCTCTCACACCACTACCCTCCCTCCTCAGCCCAGATCTCTCTTTCACCGATCCTATCCCCGCCACCCCCCGCACTCCTCTTCCCATTCCTCCTGCTCCGCTTCCCCCTGCCCCCTCTCCCCCCATCCCCCCTCCCCCCGCCTTCCCCGCGGGGGGGCCTACCGCCACCAGTTTAACCTCCCTGCCCTCATCCCCGCTATCATCTGCCCCGATTTCCACTCTTAGCTGTAGCTTTTTCAGCCCTATAGCGGATCTCCGCGGAGACCCTGTGCTTCCAGACTCCCCCCTGGGCGAACCCGCCGCGCTCCCCCTCTCGCTCCCCCGCTCGCTCCCCCCGTCTCCCCCGATCCCCAGCCGCTTTCTGTGGGCGGAAATTGCGGCGCTGACGGCGCTCGCGCCGCCGATCGCGCTGCCACCTGGCGCGTCGCGCCCCGTAGCCACGGACACGTCAGACAACGCGACGGATTCCGTCGGCGAGCTGCGCTCCGTTCCCTCCCCGTCATCCTCCTGAACGGGAGACGCTATCCCCCTCATCCCCGCGCGTCCCGCGCCCATCCCTCCCCCCTCCGCATCCCCGTAACCCTGATCCCTCCCCGCCGCAGCCCCCGCGCCGCCAGCCAGCCGCCCCTTCGTGAGCGGCATAGCAGCGGAATAAATATTATGATCCACGCTCCCGATGCGCCGATGGCGCCCCTTTCCGCCGCCCGCGCCAGCTCCGCCGCCCTTCTCCATGTGGCGGAGCACCTGGCGCTGTCCCACCTCCGGCGCTCTCAGCCGGTCCATGCGGCTCCCCTCAATCTCTTTCCCTGCGGAAGACGCGGACGGGGGAAACGCGGGGGGGGGCTTCCGCGCGCCAGGCTCTTCCGCGTCGCTTCCCGCTCTCCCCGCGGCGGAAACTCCGCCCCCTCCGCCGGCGTCGGAATCACCCCCGCCGCTGCTACTGTGCTCCGCGGAAGAACGCCTGCTGCGCGGCCTTTCTTTTTCCGCGTGGCTCTTCCCCTTCTTGGTTTTCGCCTTGGCGTTCGCCAATGGCGCTTTGACACGTGGCACAGATACCTCGCTCGCGTCGTCGTCGCAGTCTTGTTCCGAATCCGTCTCCTCCTCCGCCATAGCGGGAACAACGGGCTTTAAGATGGGTTCTATTATCGGATTTTCTACTAACTGAAACCCGCAATTCGGGCAGAACTGGTACCGCGGCTTGCAATACGCGACTCCGCCGGCAGCGGCCGCCAAAGCCGCCGCCGCCGCCGCCAACTCCGCGCTCCCCGGCGGAAATTGCGCCGCGTTCACAGATGGCTTTAACAAAAACCGCGGCTTGTCCGCATCTGACGGTATGGAGTCGGGGGTGTTGACGAGCGGTAATCGCGGATCGACGACGCTATTGATACTGCTGCTGTTGCTGCTGTTGTTAACCCCGTTTCGCATCGACTCCAGCGTCGGCTGTCTCGCCGCGCCGCCCATTGCGCCGCTTCTGCTTCGCCCCCCGCCGCCGTTCGTGCTGTTCCCCGTGCCCGTAGGGACCGCCCCGTACCCGCCGCTTAAACCGGAAAGACTAAGACCGGCCAACGCGGCCCGCGCCTCGACGGCGACGTTATCGGAGGATTTTCGCCGGCGGCGCCCCTCGTGGCTCGAGTGGCTGCTGCGCCCGTCCGACATGTGCCCGGGCGACTCCGCGTGGTTAGCGACACTTTGTGGCGAAGCGCTGCGAACGGGTAATCCTACGCCGGACCCTGCGTGCTTGCTGCTTCCGCGCTCAATTGCGCTTCCCCCGATTCCGCCTCCCCCGATTCCGCCTCCCCCACTTCCGCCTCCCCCGACCATGTGAAACTCCTGCAGGCGCAGCTCGAGCGGGCTGACGGACGCGACCGTTGCGCGCCGGCGGCTTCCGCTCTTGTGCGGGGGGAGCCCCGAGGGCTGCTCCGAGTGGTACTGCATCTTAAAGCCCTCGGACCCGGCAGTTCAAGTGTAGGACACTTGATACGGGTTTCCTATGTTATTGGCTGCAATGCGGTGCTTCTAGTGACCTCCTAACCATCTGTGGGATAGGTGAGGCAACGGGTGATGATGTTAAAGATAATGGATGAGATAATACAAGAGGTATTGCGGTAGGTGCGAGAATGACCTTCAGAACTAGCAGGGGCGATTACTATTTCCGCGAGAGTGAACGCTGGGAACGCAACACAACACGAGGCAATGTGAGAGAATGTACTCAGTCACTGCGGGTCGATGTAGCTAACCCTGCGAACGATTCGCGTGGAACATAAACTATCACTACCTTTCGAAATAATTAATTCTAGAGAAACTGACTTTCAGCAACAGAAGAGTTTATATGAAGGTCCACAACAACTGTGCAAAGGTCGAGGACCTTGGAATTAGGTTGCGGGAAAGCAAAGCACTGTTGAGCTGGAAGGGTAAGTGAGACAGATAAGAGGCAACGAGCAAGCTAGTTGGCTGATTTCAAACATGGCGCAGCTGACAAGCTGGCACTGCTGCACGAACAAACACGGACGGTCAAACGGAGTATGAAACCGCTATGGCTGAACTAGGCGGTACCGTACGGATGGAGCAGCGAACCGTACCGTACGTACGCTGGTTGCGTACCGCACAGAAATTGAGAGGGGTGGCGGTGGTGGTAGCTGTCGTTTCTGATACCCAAGAGCCAGCAAGCCAGCCTGAGGTTTGGACCTCAGGTTTTCAGAGTTATTTGAAGGTTTGGAAGTCGCGAGCGTGGTAACCTGAATGATTGTGGTTTGCGAGTTTTGGCGATAAAACCCTCCGGCGAATTGTGGTGCGAGGTTCGGAATCCTCAAGTTCGGTTCGGGAAGATCGCTCAAGTTGATGAAGCCTGATGGCTCGTTTCATGAGCAGCAAAACACTAGGGAACCACGGGACGTACGTACGCACGCCAAACTCGTGGTGGCATTCAGCGGTGTGTGGTGGAAGAATCGGAGTGTTGCACAGTGTCTGGGTACAGTACAATGACAAAGGTGGGTGGATCACCTGGCGGTCCGGCGGCCATGAGTGGAACGCTGTGGGCCCCGTGGGGCACAGCCCACCGCCCACTAGGCACGAAAGCGGGCACAAACCATTCCCAACTAACAGCTGAAAATATGCAGTGCACAGGCACTGGGTAAACAAGTTTATGACTCGTTTGTAATTTCTGCAGCTATTGGAGCATGTTGGGATTGCACTGTAGAATTTAGCCAACTAGGAACCATTCATTTACTTCTGAAATGACGGGCAATGCGTACGTTATTCTTCAATGGGGTGGGTGGAACTTTGAAGGCTCTGTACAAGGTAAGGTCATCATATAAAATAGGTTTGGGTTGTGACGAAACAATGTGCGTGTGTGAAACAATATCTAGTACTTAGGAAGATGTACTCATCCTTTTCAAAGTGTGCCTTCCTCTACCAAACCAAATTGTAACCGTTCCTCCTTCCCCCTGATTATTTTTTGTGGATAAACGAATAGAAGCCAAGCTTCTTGCTGGTAGCTGGAACCCCAACAACAATCGTCTTCAGTTCCTGTGACATCTTCCCTCCCAAGTCAATTCCGAAGCACAACGCAAAGAAGTACTAGGTTTTGCCTTTCTTTAATCTTGTGAAATTCATACAGCATCAACACAATACACATGGTAAACAGCAACAAATCAAACCCCAAGAGCCTCAAGCCGCAGTAGCTGCCTGCTTGTTGTGCTGCACTCGCCTCACTACCTCCTCCATGGCAATATCAAAGGCGTCTCGCTTTTGTTCCATAGGGTACATGCGCGGATGGTTGTAGACCACTGCCGGTAACACCTCCCTTATGATCTTTAATCGCATGCGCCGCACCTAGAGAGAGTCAAACGTAGAGTGAGGGGAGGGTAAAGGGGAAGGAAAGGTGCGATGGAGATATGAAAGGGGTCTTGCCTCTGCTGCATGGGGTGCATGCATGCATGGTGGTAATACACCGAGTTGACTTCTGAGTCGACTCAAAAGTCAACTCTGCATGAGGCACATGCATGCATGGTGGTAATACATAATACACCGCTGATGGGATGGCTGTTCTCGAGATGGAGATGTGCCACGGGTCAGAACATGCTCCTCAATTACACATGCAACAGTGACATGCATATGCGCAATGGTAGCATGCACAACAGCGACATGCATATGCGCAATGGTAGCATGCACAACAGCGACATGCATATGCGCAATGGTAGCATGCACAACAGCGACATGCATATGCGCAATGGTAGCATGCACAACAGTGACTTGCATAACTTGCGTAACAATGACATGCGTAACAGTAACTTCCGTAACAGCTACAAACAAGAAACTGCAAATGCACTCTATCTTGACATGGACCATAGAGTCAACACTGTGAGCCTTTGTACTCGGGAAAGGAACCAAGAGTGGGACGCACCAACCGAACCAAGCAACTTTTGAGACGTCTCAAAAGTCACTCAGGAAAGGAACCAACCGAACCAAGCACATACAGACGGTTCGCCCTGGCCCTGCTTACCTCCTTTCCTGGAATCTTCTCGAGCTCCTTGATGACATCAACCTTGCCTGCCAGCACCGCTTTCTCACTCAGCGTCACCGAGTAGGTGCTGCTGTTGGCTGGTAGGTGCCACTTGTACTGCGATGCATGGGAAGGGAGAAGGAGGGGTGGAGGGAGAGATGGGCGGGAAGAACATGATCACTCAGTGTCACTGAGTAGGTGCTGCTGTTGGCGGGCAGATGCCACTTGTACTGCGATGCAGGAGGAGGGGAAAGAGGAGTAGAGAGAAAGATGATTATTCAATGTCACTGAGTAGGCGCTGCTGTTGGCCGGTAGGTGCCACTTGTACTGCGATGCATGGGAGAGGGGGGGATTGGGAGAGGGGGGGATGGAGGGAGGGATAACACGGAGAACCATTTGAAGCGACAGAATAGCTGTTGCTGTTGGCTGGTGGGTGCCACCTGTACTGTGATGCTGGGAGAGGTGGGGGATGGAGGGGGTTGGGAGGAAAGGGTCTGCAGCACAGACGTCTAGACCGGATGCACGACTAGACGGGGCGCCTTAAATATCAACAATGGCAGCTTGACTCATACGCGCACGCACGCACGCACGCACGCACGCACGCACGCACGCACGCACACACACAGCCATCTGAAGCTGCACACACACCCACAGTCAGCACACCTGGGAAGCCCGGAGGGCACAGGGAGGCACCTGGCAACGATGGCATCGACGGCGGCTCTGCGTGATCAATGAACACATGTGCAGCGCAATGAACACATGTGCAGCGCAATGAACACATGTGCAGCGCACCTGGAAGGGCACCTCCGCTGGGCTGAGTTTACCTGGGAGGGCACCTAAGTTCAGCACACCTGAGGGCACGAAGGAGTCGAGGAAGACGGGGATGCAACCGGCAACGATGGCGTCGAAGGCGGCTCTGCGTGCTCATGAGAAGATGTGCAGCGCACCTGATATTACACCCATGCTGAGGTTACCTGGGAGGGCACGAAGGAGTCGAGGAAGACGGGGATGCAGCCAGCAACGATGGCGTCAAAGGCGGCCCTGCGTGCGCCCGTGTGGCCCGACGGTACGATGCAGAAGGCAGCATCGGTGAATAGATCCATGAGCACCTCTGGCCGCGTGCAGATGTCCTCAACGCACTCTAAGTATCTGGTGGGTGGTAAGAGATAATGAGGGGTTTGGAGGGATACTTGACAGTCAGGCAGATGGCACGAGGCAGAAGGCAGCATCGGTGAATAGGTCCATGAGCACCTCTGGCCGCGTGCAGATGTCCTCCACACACTCCAGGTACCTGACATGGGGAGGGGAGGGAAAGGAGAGTTGTGCGCGGTTTAGTCGTCTTGAGGATAGTCCACTTGCACGCATAGGAGCACCTCTGGACGCGTGCAGATCCCGTCCATACACTCCAGCTACCTGTGGTGGTGAGTGATGAGGCGAAAAAAAGGGTTATTGTAGGTGGAAGAGGTTCAGAGAGAGGAAGGTTTACAGCGATGCAGAGGGCATAGAAACCTCTGGCCGCATGCAGATCTGCTACAGCACCCAGTCCAAGGCGGCTCTGCGGGCGCCCGTGTGGCCCGAGCAGATGATGCAGAAGGCGGCATCGGTGGAGAGATCCATCAGCACCTCTGGCCGCGTGCAGATCTGCTGCAGCACCCAGTCCAAGTCCCTGTGGTGGCTGATGGGAATAAGGGAGAAAACGGATCAGGCAGATGAAACAAAATAACAGATGAAACGAAGTAACAGATGAAACAGATTCATGTGTTGCACCTTATTCACAGAAACACTCCCATGATGGTGAGATTCACAGGTGCATGGTGGTTGATATGAGGTGAGGAGAACGCGAATGGATCGCCCAACTCAAGGCCATGCCTTGGCTTTCTTGCAGTGCTGCCCCAGTGCCTTGTTGTGCTTGCTGAAGGCGTCCCTCAGTGATGCAAACGACCACTGTCAAGCCTCCTTGTTGTCGTGATTCACGCGTTTCCATCACCCCACACACACTCACACTGACCGCCATGCCTTGCCTCACTCAACTCGCCAGCACGCCTTTGCCTTCTTGCACTGCCGCCCCAGTGCCTTGTTGTGCTTGCTGAAGGCGTCCCTCAGTGATGCAAACGACTACTGTCAAGCCTCCTTGTTGTCGTGATTCACGCGTTTCCATCACCCCACACACACTCGCACTGACCGCCATGCCTTGCCTCACTCAACTCGCCAGCACGCCTTTGCCTTCTTGCACTGCCGCCCCAGTGCCTTGTTGTGCTTGCTGAAGGCGTCCCTCAGTGATGCAAACGACCACTGTCAAGCCTCCTTGTTGTCGTGATTCACGCGTTTCCATCACCCCACACACACTCGCACTGACCGCCATGCCTTGCCTCACTCAACTCGCCAGCACGCCTTTGCCTTCTTGCACTGCCGCCCCAGTGCCTTGTTGTGCTTGCTGAAGGCGTCCCTCAGTGATGCAAACGACCACTGTCAAGCCTCCTTGTTGTCGTGATTCACGCGTTTCCATCACCCCACACACACTCACACTGACCGCCATGCCTTGCCTCACTCAACTCGCCAGCACGCCTTTGCCTTCTTGCACTGCCGCCCCAGTGCCTTGTTGTGCTTGCTGAAGGCGTCCCTCAGTGATGCAAACGACTACTGTCAAGCCTCCTTGTTGTCGTGATTCACGCGTTTCCATCACCCCACACACACTCGCACTGACCGCCATGCCTTGCCTCACTCAACTCGCCAGCACGCCTTTGCCTTCTTGCACTGCCGCCCCAGTGCCTTGTTGTGCTTGCTGAAGGCGTCCCTCAGTGATGCAAACGACCACTGTCAAGCCTCCTTGTTGTCGTGATTCACGCGTTTCCATCACCCCACACACACTCGCACTGACCGCCATGCCTTGCCTCACTCAACTCGCCAGCACGCCTTTGCCTTCTTGCACTGCCGCCCCAGTGCCTTGTTGTGCTTGCTGAAGGCGTCCCTCAGTGATGCAAACGACCACTGTCAAGCCTCCTTGTTGTCGTGATTCACGCGTTTCCATCACCCCACACACACTCGCACTGACCGCCATGCCTTGCCTCACTCAACTCGCCAGCACGCCTTTGCCTTCTTGCACTGCCGCCCCAGTGCCTTGTGCTTGCTGAAGGCGTCCCTCAGTGATGCAAACGACCACTGTCCTTTGATCACCCCACACAACCTGACACTCACCGGCACGCCTTGGCTTTTTTGCACTGCCTGCCCAGCGCCTTGTTGTGCTTGCTGAAAGCGTCCCTCAGTGATGCAAACGCCGCGAGAGATGTGCGCCGGTGCGACTCGGCTATGCGCTGCCATGTCTGCATGGTGAGAGGGGTGGTGTGACAGGGGGACAACGTGGGAGCAGGATATGATGACGTGAGTTGAAATGCTGCCACCTGCAGTGTGTGCTGGTGTGACTCTGCTATGCGCTTCTATGCCTGCAGCGTGAGAGGGGTGGTGGGTGGAACGACAGGGCCAGAATACATGAGTGCTGGAAAATGGCAGCCCTGAAGTGTCCAACTATGTTTCGGTGTCCAACAAGTGTCCAACGCGAGAATTCTCAAAAGTAACTGTCCAACTATGTTTCGGTGTCCAACGCGAGAATTCTCAGAAGTAACTGTCCAACTATGTTTCCCACCATGCACCCCCTAAGCTGAGCTCCCGGTCTTGTTCGCGTTCTTAACGTTCTTAACTGTCTGCCCTCCACCTTGCTTGACAACAAGCTGCTCATTTGTATGTTACGTCGCAACCCTGGCTTCTCGTCTTGTTAACACGGATGGGTGGACGAAGGTGAGAGGGCGGATGGAGATCCAGTGGAGGAGGAATAGGACCACCGCTGAACCCAGTTTTTCCACCAATGAGCCGCCTTTCACCCATGGGTACTCACCTTGTAGTCCTTCTCCCAGCGCGGGTGGAAGAAGGTGAGAGGCGGGATGCCGATCTCGGTCTCCTCCCACAGGTTGGCCGCCAGCACCAGCTTCGTCACGTGCTTCATCTCGGGCAGCAGCAGCAGGCGGTTTCCCCACTGAGATCCCTCTGACCGCCGGAAGTCCCACGAGCCCTGCCCCAGCACGATGAAATGGTCCGCTCGGTTGCGCTTCTGCAGGGAGAAAAGAGACCATCACAAACACAGAAAGGCACAGATAGGTGCAGAAAGGTGCAGAAAGGATGCGCCTCAACTCAAGTCCCACGAGCCCTGCCCCAGAAGTATGAAGTGGTCCGCTCCCCTGCTCTTCTACACAACACAGGAAGGAGGAGCGCAGAAGCATCAGGCAGGCAGTGCATTAGTGCTGTACAACCAGGTCCCGCCTAAACTCGATAGCCTCACCAAGTGGCTCTTGCAAAGAGACCGCTTCAAGACCGTTTCGGGCCTAACACACTCACCTACACACCTTAGTGCTCCCTTCTCATGAGCCACTTGGCGAGCCCATCGTGCATGCGGTCCCGGTTGTCCAGAGATGCGTTCTTGGCAAAGTGCCAGCGGGTGACATCCAGCGAGGCAGTGACCCACTCCCTTCCCCTCACACCACACCTGTTCCAACTCCCGTACCTGACACCTAGCACGCACCTTCAAGAGCCAGCGAGTTACGCCCAGCGATGCAGTGACCCCCTCCCTTCTCCTCACACCACACTCGTTCCGACTCCCGTACCTGACAGCTAGCACGCACCTTGAAGTGCCAGCGAGTGAAGCCCAGCGAGGCAGAGAGCAGAGGAGAGAGCAGGGCATGCCACCACGCACCATACCACAACAGTGCTAGAAGTCTTGCGCCACACACACCTTGAACTTTTGAGGCGCCTCAAAAGAAGTCTTGCGCCACACACACCTTGAAGTGCTCTCGCCTCATGAGCCACTTGGCGAGCCCATCGTGCATGCGGTCACGGTCGTCGAGAGACGCGTTCTTGGCAAAGTGCCAGCGGGTCACGTCCAGCGACGCATAGAAGGGGATGAAGAACAGGTCTGCCCTGTCTGGGTCGCTCGTGATGCACTTGTATGCCTTGCGCAGGCGGTAGTGAAACACCATCTCCAGGGCGTACTGGGGGAGAGGGAGGAGAGATACTAAAAGGAAAAAGATGTGTAGAAGGTGATGCCAAAGAGATCCGCCCTGTCTGGGTCATGCGTGATGCACTTGTATGCCTTGCACAGGCGGTAGTGAAACACCATCTCCAGTGTGTAATGCCAACCACAGAGCAAGGAAGGCGGGAGGGAGAGGGTGACAAGGAGTAGAAGGGGATGAAGAACAGGTCCGCCCTGTCTTGCGCAGGCGGTAGTGAAACACCATCTCCAGGGCGTGCTGTCACACACGCAGTGTGGGGAGAGACACAAGATGAAAGGGCATGAAGAACAGGTCCGCTCGCTCAGTGTCGCTGGTGCTGCCCTTGTATGCCTTGCGCAGCCGGTAGTGGGACACCATCTCCACCAGGGCGTACTGGGAGGAGGGAGAGGAGAGAGAAGAGGGAGACGTGGGAGATGAGGAAGAGGAAGAGATCTGCTCTGTCAGTGTCGCTGGTGCTGCCCTTGTATGCCTTGTGCAGCCGGTAGTGGGACACCATCTCAACCAGGGCGTAGTGGGGGGAGAGGGAAAAGGGAAGAGAATGGGTAAGGAGAGGGGAAGGGGCACGGGCTGTCAGGGCGATCAGGGGCGCTGGTGACGCACTTGTGTTGTACGCCTTGCGGGGATAGAATGTGGGGGCATGAGTGCAGGCAGGTAAATGTGGGTAGTCCCCACTATTGGTGTGCAGAGAGAATGTGGGGAGAGGAGAGAGCGAGGTGTCAAAGAACTTGAGCAGATAAGTGCGTGTATGAGCAGGTGGGACTTGAGCAGGTGGGACTTGAGCAGGTGGGACTTGAGCAGGTGGGACTTGAGCAGGTGGGACTTGAGCAAGTGGCCGTTAGAAATACAATCAATGGCATGCGCATTCGAGAGGGACTTATGCAGCTGTAAGACATGATGCAGTGCGGTGTGGTGAGGTGCAGTGCAGCGCGGTGCAGTGCATGCATACCATGTGCGTCTCGAACCATCGGCCAGAGGGTAGAAGCAGCTTGCTGTTGCGGATTCGGTTCCCCAAGCCGTCGTTCTGCTTGCACATGGGGGCATGGGATTAGACATGAGGGCATGTAAGGGGGGCATGTAGAGGGGGGTATGCAGAGGGGGGTATGCAGAGGGGGGCATAAGACATGAGATTAGACATGAGGGCATGCAGAGGGGGGCATAAGACATGAGATTAGACACGAGGGTATGCAGAGGGGGGCATGAGAGCAGGCAGGTGAAGAAGCAGAGTAGCAGAGAGGCGCGCACACACACGCCCATACCCCTCAAAACCCGCACGATTCAACCCAACACCCACACAAGAGATGCACCTGGAAGTGCGGGCAGATGGAGAACCAGGGCAGCAGAGTGGCGCACTGCCCGACCAGCCCGCGGTTGTACGCCTGAGCCAGCTTGTGAATGTACACCGTGCGCCCCCGACACCCCTCCACGTCTATGGGCTCGCCCACTGGATCCGCTGCCACTGCTGCGGCCTCCGCTTTCTGGGATGAGCCACGGGAGGAAGAGGAAACGGGTGGAGCGGAGTGGGAGAGAGGGACGGGGGAGAGGGGGAAGGGCCAGCTTGCGGAGGAACACCGTGTGTCCCCGAAACCCCTCCACGTCTATCGGCTCGCCCACCAGGTCCGCCGCTACCGCTGCTGCCTCCGCTTTCTGAATGACGGGAGCCGAGCAAAGCAGAGGGAGATAAGTGGGGGAACGGGGAGAAGGTGAAGGGAAGGGGAGGCTTGCGGAGGAACACCGTGTGTCCCCGAAACCCCTCCACGTCTATCGGCTCGCCCACCAGACTCGCCGCTACCGCTGCTGCCTCCTCTGCTTTTCTGGAGGAGCGATGAGATGAATAAGTGAGGGATGCACGGGCTCAGGGAGGGAAGAGGAAGTAATGTCAAAAGGGGAGGCGTCAATGGAGAGGGGTGAAGGGCGAGATTTGAAGGTCGAGGCATGGATGAAGGTTGAGGGGTTAAGGCCGAGGGGTTAAGGCCGAGGGGTTAAGGGCGAGGGGTTAAGGCCGAGGGGTTAAGGGCGAGGGGTTAAGGGCGAGGGGTTAAGGGCGAGGGGTTAAGGGCGAGGGGTTAAGGGCGAGGGGTTAAGGGCGAGGGGTTAAGGCCGAGGGGTTAGGGGCGAGGGGTTAAGGGCGAGGGGTTAAGGGCGAGGGGTTAAGGCCGAGGGTTTAAGGGCGAGGGGTTAAGGCAAGCAGATGAAGAGCAGGAGGTGCGATGCGGCGGCAAGAGAAAGGGACCAGTGAGCAGATTGCAAGTGCTCACCACTTCCTTGGCAGCGACCGACTGCTGGCTCTGTGAGGGACAGCAGGAACACGTTTGACATACAAAGGAAACCGGCGAGAAGAAAGAGGAAAGGCAGCGCTCACCACTTCCTTGGCAGCGACCGACTGCTGTTCCGACGAGCCCGCACTCTCCCCTGTGGCTTCCCCACCCCCGCTGCTGCCACTCTCCCCCTCACTGCCACCACCGTCGCCACCAGCAGCAGCACTGTCATCTGCAGGCCCAGCCCCTTCGTCCTCCTCCCCTGCTCCTTCCCCACTGCTATGCGAGCCCTCCCCCTCCTCCTCCTCCTCCTCCTCCTCCTCCTCCTCCTCCTCCTCCTCCTCCTCCTCCTCCTCCTCCTCCTCCTCCTCCTCCTCCTCCTTCGCCTCCTCCTTCGCCTCCTCCTTCGCCTCCTCCTTCGCCTCCTCCTTCGCCTCCTCCTTCGCCTCCTTTTCCTCTTCTTTCTCCTCCTCGTCCTCCTCGTCTTCTTTCCCCCCCTCCTCATCCTGCGCTTTCTTCCCGCTGCCTGTACCTGCTTCACTGCGTCCCTTCTTCCCTTCCTTCCCACCCCCTTCCTCCTCCTCATCCTCTTCATCATCCTCCCCGTCCTCCTCATCTTCGCTCTCACCCTTATCCCCTGCCTTCTTCTCCTTCTTGCCTCCCGCTTCCCCCTCTCCACTCCCCTCCTCACCCTCCTCATCATCCCCCTTGCTCACCCTCACTCTTCCCTCCCGCGTCCTTCTCCTCCTCCTTCTCCTCCTTCTCCTCCTTCTCCTTCTCCTCCTCACCCTCATCACCATCCTTCCCATCCTCATCCTCATCCTCCTTCCCTTGCCCCACACTCCCCTTCACCTCAGTCCTCTTCTCCTCTTCTCCCCCTGGCCGATCACCATCCACTCCCTCCTCCCCAAAGACACCGCTGCCATGCGGTATCTTCCCAGGGAATTGCTGATGCTCTCTCTCAGGGAATGGGTGCGGCTCCCTCTCAGGAAATGGCTGCTGATCCCTCTCAGGGAATTGCTGCTGCTGATCCTTCTCAGGCAAATGCTGCTGACGCTCCCTCCAAGGAAATGGCTGCGGCTCTTTATCAGGGTACGCCTGCCCACCCTGCCCTGCTCCACTCCCTGCCTCCCCACCCACAGCAGCAGCAGCAGCAGCGGCCGCACCTCCTTCCGCAGTAGCAGCAGCAGTGGCGCCACTGCCAGCAGCAGCAGCAGCGTGACCTCTGGCACTCTCCGCTTGTGCCACCTCCAGCTGAGACGTCTGCAGGCATGCGCACAGATCCCACAGGAAGAAACAGGCAGTAGAGGTGATGAGTCGATTCAAAATTCACCTTCAGTAGCAGCAGCAGCAGCAGCAGCAGCAGCAGCAGCAGCAGCAGTAGTCGGCAGCGTGCTCCTGGCATTCTCCACTTGTGCTAGCTCCAGCTGGGATGCCTGCAGGCATGCGCACAACGACAGAGGAAGAAACAGGCGGGAGAGATCACCTTTCTAGCAGGGAGCACGATCCCAGCGGAGAGCACAAGCGCAGCACAGCGCAGAGCACATGTGCAGCAGAAGGCAGGGGTGCAGAGGGCGGAAGGTAAGACACGGGGTATTGTAGACATGGAAAACGGTGGCACAAGACTGCTTCTCGGTCCCTCCCCCAGCAACAGTGGCGACGCCTCCCAAACCTACTACCATTGGTAATGCATTACTTGACGTGATCCCACCTGCTGCTGGCTCCTCTGCTGCGCTGATCAAGTGAGTGCGTGGTTTTCCTGCGTTGCTAGCTCCAATAAGCTCGCCTGCAACAGACTGCCTCACCCTGCTTGCCTGCTGCACTATTCCACAGCATCTTACAGGTTACTCCACTCGGCCTCACCTGCTGCTGGCTCCTCTGTTGCGCTGATGCAGGGAGTGCATGGTCCTCCTGCCTTGCTAGCTCCAACAGGCTCGCTGCGTCCTCACCCCCGCCTGCTGTGACTGCCGGGGGTGGAACGGATGGAATACGGATGGCATGATGACATGATGGCATGATGGCATGATGTCATGATGGCATGATGGCATGTTGGCACTATGGCCCCAGAAAATACAATCGAAAGTATTTGAACTTACGCTTCCATACCTTCCCACCCATCCAATGTCCCCTTCCCTCGGTGCCCTCGCCATAACCTCTCCCTCTCACACCCTTCCCCCCTCCGCCCCTTGCTCCCCCACCAAACGACTTTCCACGTTTCCCCTCTCCTCTCCCTTGTTCTCTCCCTGGCCCCACTCCTCTCCACTGCTCCACCATCCCCTCCCACCCGTCCCATTCTTCCACCGCTTTCCACTCCTCTCTTCAACAAAATTATCCCCATTATCCCACCCCTTCCCTCCTCTCCTCTCTTCTTCCCAAGGACTCACAGTGCGTGGTTTGCGCGGCAACAGGCTGAGCCAGTTGTTGAGGCGCTGATATGGTCTCAGTCTGTGCGATCTGGGCGCCAGTCAAATGCACAAAAGCGCGGGAGTGAATGAAGGAGGCGGAATGAGACAAGTTAGGTTTGAGGATTCTCCACAACCAACTTGGTTTCGGTATGTGCGACTTGGGCGCCAGGCACATGTACGAAGGCGCGGGTGTGGATGAGGGAGGTGTACAACCAGGTGTACAACGCTCGAAAAAGCTCGAGTCTACTCTTTCGCGTCGTATACAATGCAACCCCCGGCAGCCACGCAAGCAGCTACGAGCGCACAAACAAGTTCCGTGCATTCAGCGTACTCTCGCCGTGAAAAGACGAGTCCTTTCACGTACGTGTTCCGTCGTTTGAACCGCTGGGCCGACCGTGCCGCTCTTCGTGACGTCTGGCCCGCCTGCATGGCAACGCATTGTCGCAGAAAAAGAGAAAGAACGACGAGATTCGACGATTTTTGAGTCGACTCAGAAGTGGGATTGCATTGGCACAGTGCGGGAGGAGAAATGACGAGATCCGACGCCGGAACGGAGTGACCTTGACGTCGTGATCAAGATAATACGGGAGAAGGTTGAGTGATTGCGGGGAGAAAGGAGAGATCATAGGAAGCAAGGAGAGAGAATGGCACAGACAACGACGGGAAGAAGAGGACACGGCGACGTCGCTCGCACTCTCGTGGAGCACGCTGGAAAGGCTCAACAGCTTACAGAGCTGCATTCTGCGAGGCCTCAAAAGCTGCAACACCATTTTCCAGTCGGCAGATTCATACGCACTGCCGTTACCCCTTGCACTGTAGCGGCATGCTGCGTCAGAACTGTAGGAGTGGTTCGTCTAAGAAGAACGAGACCTTTGATGCTCCAGACAACTGCATTGCTGACTAAGGATTACGCATCTGGTAAGTGAGGGAGATAAGCTCCTTCTGATCAATGATAAGAAAGGAAAAGGTAGTGACTTACTCTGATTGGTCGGATGCGACGGTCTGGCGAGCATGATGATGAGAATGACCGCTGCGACGGTGAACATGGCGACCTGTGCGACGAACTGTCGCCGCTTCTGCGCCGCCGATCGCGGAGCGAAAATTGAATCTGACTTTCGCTTGGCCTCGTCGTGGTCCGATCCGTCAGGCGATTGCCTCCCGCCTGTCGCGTGCCCTCGTCGCACGTCCATCGCTAAGACTGTGCGACACTACCGATCGCAATAAAACGACTAGGTAAAACGCGATGAGATAGCGTAGAGTCTCTTCGGCTTTCACGGCATCATCAGCCCTGAATGAAGGACATGCGGAGATGAGAATGTGGAAGTGGCGAGGAAGAATGGTAGAGGAAGATGGGAAAGTAATTGGGACAAGTGAAGCTCAGTCTTGGGAGTTCGTCTTGTTGCTGAGAATCTGGAATCTGACAAGATTCGACGTTAACGTCGGAAGGGTTGCGTAGCTGTTACATCCTGCAGAAAAAATGAAAGGACAATTGGAAGTGTATATATAGAACGCCAAGTTCGCGTTTTCCCATATTCATAATTCAGCTCGTTGATTAATAATGATGCAACTTCAAAATATGTAAGGTATTTTGTACTAATAAATACCATGACGTAGATTTATAACGTCTGCAATAGTTGTTGTAATTACAACTTACAATGTCGTTTTTATAGCCCTTACCCTTCGTTGTTGTTATAACTAAAAGCAATATGTACGTGATAGCAGTAACGTTTATTTTGTTATATAGTCGAGTTTCGACGATATAGTCGAAAGGGTTGTGTAGTAAGTTAAGTTAATAGCATTAATAATTTTAGGACGTGTTTGTATCTGATAAGTGATAATTCATTTATCATATGCTAAACTTTGAGTTATGGATACAAACTCTTTATATGCTATTTGTATGCTTACATTGTTAATTTTAATTGATGTACTATTGAGATGTTTTTTTTGGAGACCATAGCATACTCATTGGGGACCACACCAATTTGGGATGACTCATACATGATTTGAGTCGTGTCAATTCTGTCTTGAAGATGTGGTTGAGCTGCTTTTTCACGTGACCAATTGTCTTGCTGAGTTGGTGGGACAAGACAAATTCCAGCCAAAAAGTTTCTAGGGTTTGCCCGTCATACTTAAGACTTGTGAACTTTAAAAGTTCACACTTGTTGCCTCATTGTTGTGTCAAACATTATATGTTCATATTGTGTAGGCTATAGTGGGTTTAGCCTGTGAATGAAGAAAACAGGAATGAAAATGACTAAGGGAAAGTTGGGTACAAATACAAACCCTAGAAAAACTGTACCCCATATGTGCTACCCCACTATAGCCTACAGTAGCTCTGTCATATAAATCTGACACACCCCCATAGGCAAAGTGGGGGAGAACAAGGGGTCACAAGACCAGTCAAGCAAAGCAAAGCAAGCTCAGGGTGGATCACAAAGTCACCACACATTCTGAGCACAAGTTCAAGGCCACAAGGCCAGTTCACATGCAGGATTACATATATATATAAGGCTAGACAAGCAAGAGCACGTGTATATATATATGCAACAGTACAAACAAGGTCAAGGGGTGAGCAATTGAGGCAAGGTAGGCACAAGGCCCAGCTGAGTACAGAAACGCTGATGATCACAAGGCGCAAGTGCCTTGGTGAAGATATCAGCAGTGTTGGCCTGAGAGGCCACGTACGCAAGTCGCAGCTGACCACGCAGCTGTAGCTCACGAGCAAGGAAGTAGCGGAGAGCAATGTGCTTCGTTCTGTGCTCCAGTCTCTGCTCTCGACACAAGGCCAGCATGGCCTTGTTGTCTACGTACAGCACTGGAGGAGAACGAGGCGGCTCTCCGAGGTCAGTCAGCAGGTAGGTGAGCCAGCGAAGCTCCTGTGCAGCCATGGCCCCAGCGTAGATCTCAGCCTCACAACTGGAGCCGAGAACAGAAGACGAGCGGGTAGCCCGCCACGAAACAGAACCGGAACCAAGGCTGAAGGTGTAACCCTGTGACGACCGCTGCGTAGCCTGGTCGTCAGCCCAAGAAGCGTCTGCGTGCCCAGTGAGGACCACTGGACTCTGCCCTCCAAGCACAAGCCCCATGCCCGACGTACTGCACAAGTAGCGCAACACCCTCTTCGCTGCAGCCATGTGCTCCGGTCTGTGTCTCCCAGGAGCAACATAGCGTGCGAGAATGCTAAGAGGGTATGCAAGGTCAGGTCGTGTGCAGGTCATCAGGTACATGAGGCAGCCAACAAGCTCTGGGTACGGGCCACTCGACTCTACGGACTCATCCGAAGGCAGAGCTGAGAGCGAGTGGCGAGTAGGCAGAGGAGTGGCCTGAGGCGAGGAGTACGTGAAGCCGAAGCGCTGAAGGACCTGCTGCACCATGTGTGACTGAGTCAGGGTAATGGTGCGGCGTGCTCTGTCCCGGGTGATCTGCAAGCCAAGGTAGCTGCGCAGTTCACCCAGGTCTGTGCACGTGTGTCTCTTCTGCAGCTCGGACTTCACGTGGGCGAGTCCAGCAGTGTCAGCTGTGGCAAAGACCAAGTCGTCGACGTACACGAGGATGTAGAACGGCGGCAAAGAAGTGTCGGTGCGCAGAAACAGCGACGGGTCGGCAGTAGAGGGAGCAAACCCAAGAGCCGCAAGTGTAGTCCTCAGTGTGTCGTGCCACTCACGCGGTGCCTGGCGGAGACCGTAGACTGGCCGCCGGAGGCTCCACTGGGTGCCAGGAGGAAAAGACCCAGTGAAGCCAGGTGGGCGACGCAGCCAGATCTCCTCGTGCAGGCTACCCTGCAAGAAAGCAGTGCTGAAGTCAAGAGAGTGTAGCTCGTAGTCGCGGTGAGCAGCTACGTGCAGCAGTACCCGAAGAGTGGTCATCTTCGGGGTGGGAGAGAAGGTCTGAAAGTAGTCAACTCCCTGCCGCTGACTAAAGCCACGAGCCACGTAACGCGCCTTGAAGACAGGCGGAGAACCCGGCGGCCGCTTCACCCTGAAAATCCACATGCCACTGACGATGTTCGCCCCAGGCGGGGGAACCTCGTCGACGTAGGTGCCTGTGGACTTCCAGGAAGCCATCTCTGCGTCCATAGCTGCCTGCCACTGAGAGGAGTAGGGACCCTCTATCGCCTCCGCGTAAGAGCGCGGAGTCGGGATGTCAAGTGCATCCGGGTCTCCCTCAGGGGTAAGCAGTACGGACACGAGATGAGGTGAAGCAGCAGCCAAACACTGGAACTCCTCCTGCCTGTCCTCAAGGACGTCCGTGCCAAGGGCACACTCACCCCCGACGGACGGAGGACAGACAGACTCAGCAACAAGACTAGCAGCGTAGTCTAGACGACAGCGAGCAGCAAAGTCGACGAGCTCAGTAACTAGGGCAGACGCAGCAGTGGACTCAAAGGAAGGGTCAGTGACAACAGTAGCAAGGAGACGTGTGACAGTAGGACTGGCAGCACGAAGAGAGTCCGACTCCGGGTCAGGAAGAGCAGGAAGAGAGGACTCAGGAGGAGAAGGCAAAGGGGCACGCAGAGGAGCAGTGGACGGACGCAGAGACATCCGGTGCGTGCCAGGGACAGGAGGAGGACGCTGACGCGAACCACGACCACTAGTGCGAGCAGCACGGACAGGCGACGCAGGGCGGGACGCAGGCTCACGACGCTCAGCAAGACCTCCAGTAGGACCAGTGTAGGGAGAGGGAGCGGGCAGTGGGGAGGCCGGCTGTAACTGGAACTGTGACGGGACAGGCTGTGGACACTCTAAGGGAGGAGGAGGACCAGTAGAAGGCGGGAGACCAAGAACCTGCTGAAGGAGCGGAACGAAGTACGGCCGAGGCCGCGCGGCGACTCCAGACACAGCAGGGACAGCACCAGTACCCCCAGCGGCAGCACCAGCGCCAGCAGCACCTCCAGCTCCAGGACCTCCAGCCGCACCAGTAGTACCCCCAGCAGGACCGCCTCCAGGACCGACAGCAGTAGCCTCAGCGTCAACACCCTCAGCAGCTCCAGCTCCAGTCGTACCCGCAGGCCCAGCAGCTCCAGTACTCCCAGGACGAGCACCTCCGGGACCCACGGCACCAGCACCCTCAGCAGCCGAAGAACCTCCAGCTCCAGCAGCACGCCTCCAGCGCCGGGCAAACCACTCGCGCAGCTCCTGTGGAGAGAGTGGCTCCCGCCGAGACGAAGCACCCGGAGAACCTCCAGGCTCAGCACCGCCAGACGCCACACGAGCAGGCCCAGCTCCCTCAGGCTCCGCACCCCCAGGCTCAGCACCCCCAGGCTCAGCACCCCCAGTAGTAGCACCCCCAGGCTCAGCACCCCCAGGCTCAGGACCCCCAGTAGTAGCACCCTCCGGCTCAGCACCCCCAGGCGTAGCACCCACACGCTCAGCACCCCCAGAGTCAGCACCCCCAGGCTCAGCACCCTCAGCAGCACCAGAGTCACCAGT